TTTAGTAATTCATTTATTTATTTAGAAACACAGCTGGAGACAGATAAAAATATATACTTTATATAATATACGTAAAATGGAGATCATTTTTTTAAACTTATTTTCACCTACGCCTATATTCATATCAACACATTCTTCTAAATAATAGGGTGCTTTGGACTTTTTTTTACCAAGCTTTTCACCTTTCTACTAGCTGAAGAATGTTTCTTGCCACCCATCGTAGATTTTCATCTAGCTGCACTTGTTGGCTACACACTTATCATTTTACCTTTTCTTATACCTTGACGTTTGAATTTAGCAGCTGTTCCATGGTAGGTACTTAAATAGTATATTTCATTACCAGTCCAGAAAAAAGGATTTTTCCGTGCGCGCGTGACAAATTATCGTGTGAGGCGCAGCCGAGCACGGGAAGTCATGCAAGAACGGAAAAATCCATTTCTGGACGTGTAATGAACGATATTTTTTATTATACTTATCTGAGAACGATAAAAACAGAAAATTCCCAATTTTTTTACAATGGCATGAATTACAGAAAATGAAATGTCAAAAATAGGTCCAGTCGTGGGCATTGAAAGTGGGACACCCGACTGACAGGTCTTGTCATTTTTTGCTTTTTTGGGTAAATCAGTCTTTTCTCTACAATGGATTTTCTGCCAAATATGACAATCCCCGTCATTGTAGTACATAAAGTCTGTTTCTGCAGAAATCACAAACCAGTCGGAGCGAATTTCATTGGTTGAAAACAGCCAGAAAACTAATTTCAACCAATGAAATTCACTCTGACTGGTTGGTGATTTCTGCAGAAACATACCTATTGTATAGCTGGTGAGTTCGTTTTACAATAGGAAAAATCGGGTGTCCCACTTTCAATGCTCACGACTGTAATAGGTAAATGATGGTTGTCACAGTAACTTAAATCGTTTTTCATTTTTCGGGGTGCATTTATAATATATCTTTGTTTAATTTCTAATGAATGACAAGGATGCAACATTGACTGACACGTCTTATCTGGTTAGCGCACGGAAACAGAGATCGGGAAAAAATTTCCGTGCGCTGTTCTGGAAATGTCACCTTTACTTTATTGTAAAGACAGGTGAAAAACAGGTGTTTTCAGGTAAGTATAATAAAAAGAATTATTATGCCACCCTGATATAAGGAAATTATTACTTTCAGCACAGTTTTGCCTGTTTTTTAAGAAAGTGGAAATTGCTAGATAAAAAGCTATTGGATCATTACCAATATGTTTCAAGATTTCATCAGGAAATGATTTCCATTCTTCCTTTTAGGCTCGCTTTTAGGTCATTAACTTCTTTAATCGTAGGAAAATTGACATTTATAGGACACGCGGAACTTCCACTTGCTCCACCCTCATAATTGAAGTGGACGCAGTACCATTGTCGGACAATTGTGTAGGTGTAGGCTGTCTTATGGTTGAAGTATAGTCTCCTTGAAGTGGGAGAAATATCTCCGGATTTGGTTTGTCTGCACACGTTATCTCATAAAGCCTGAATTTCATATCAAGGGATAATGGTGTTCATACAAGAAAAAAAACTTATCAGTTTGAAACTAAAACTTTACCTCAACATCAGTTTTTGATGTTAAATTACATCTAACTATAGTCTTATCATCAAATATCTTATAATTATAATTATCTGGTAACAAATCTATTTTTTTTTTGCATAAGCTAACATGTAAAAACAGTGAAACACGACTCAGGACGTAGTACGTCTGCTGTATCGCCTGTTTCAAGTCGAACTAACTGCGAAGAGTCGGCTGAAAATCCGAAAAGAGCCGAACCGTCGCCGGAAGTCTAGCGCGTCTGCTGTTACTGAAAATGCAGGCAGGGTTCCCCAAATATAGGGCTCTCGCGTGGCTTCGCCCCCCAAAAAGGGCCCCCTGCGGGGCTAGGCCCTTAAAAAGGGAGCCCCGGCGAGGTTCCGCCCCCCAAATAGGGGGCTCTCGCTGGGCTTTGCCCTCCAAATAGGGGGCCCCCGGATTTTATAATGAGTACCAGAAAAAAAAGTGTGCGCAAAGTAGTTTCTTTGCGCACACTCGTAGAAAAATAACTATTAATACACTGAATCTCAGCAAGGAATGCAAGCCATTTTGAATATAACTATAACTTTATATGATATGATAATGAAATTATCTGGAACGTGCAGATGATTTTTAGTCGGCACTGTCTTGACAGTGCAGACAGATTTCAGTCGGCACTGTCTAGACAGTATTGATAGATTTTAGTCGGCACTGTCGGGTCAGTGCAGATAGTTTTCAGTCACCACTGTCTGGACAGTGCAGTAGTCACTCCCAAAAAATATATATTTTTTTAGAATTTTCATATTTCACCTTATCTCTTATGTATTAAGTGGGTTGAGTGTTCGAAGGGGTGACACTTCAATCTATGTTTTTAGTCCAGGAGGCAGTGAAATTTTTTAGCACTTATTTTCCCAGTTGGTGTCTATTAAATAGTTTGTTTTCCTGGTGATACAAAACAAGAATTTTTGAGTCTGCCGAAAATTTTCAGATGGGTTCACAAGATCAATGAAAAACACAAGTACACTTATTTTCCTAGACATAAATATTCCACATTTACTACAATCGAACATATAAAGTATATGAAAAAAGCAATTTGGCTTATCTCAGATAGTGGAAAGTGAGTCTGGCTGAAAATTTAAGGTTCTCCAATTTTTCACTTGCCAGACATATTATCCATACTCACAGATTAGCCGGACTATTTTTTTACATAACTTCAGTATACTTCTCATTAGCAGACCTATTTTTATCACTGAAAAAAAAGGGCCGTGCATTCGTAAGCTTTAACGCATTTTGCGCCTCAACCCATCGAAACCCCCCCCCCCCCCTAAAAATATATGAATTTTGCTTATGCCTGTATTACATCTGTGTATTTTTCCGTGTATTTATTCATGTAGATCAGGGTGCCAACATTATTTTGTTTTTCATAATGCTGATTTATATTGCGTTTGAAGTTTTTCGGTTGTCACCCTGAACTACATGAATAAATACACGGAAAAATACACAGATGTAATACGGGCATTAGAATTACTAACCCTACGATTCTATCCATGTTGTTTGACTGGGAAAATAAGTACCGAAAATCGTCACTGCCTCCTAGACTATTTCGGTTTCCGGCCCAGAAAGTTTATCTCTTGTTAGGTAAGATTTATTATTAACCTTATTCTTTGTTTGGGGCTAGTATCATTAATAATTTGTTTAACTAGGTAGTGGAATAAATTATTCAATGTAAATGGATTTCAGCCTCGCCTGATAAAATATTAGCCAAGTCATTAAAATCTACTTCACTTCCATGTTGAACCCTTAAATATTTATCCGACGACCAACATCTGTTGTTGACCATAATGGTAGATCTAAATAATGGTGGTTCATATCATCTTCATACTTTTTCACTTGATGCATCGACGTGTAGACACGCTGTATATAAACTAACAACCTAATAGATTTTAGTTTCGCTACAAAAAGCAAAGAAAAAAGCTCCCTCTCTGATTCGATTGACGACTGAGTGTACGTAAAGTTTAGCTCGGAACGGTCTAAGTAAATAAAATTTGCCCAACACGTATCGAATTCAATCAGAACCGGAAGGACATAAACAACGTTTCCTTGGGGAGCGAAAGGTTCTTTACCTGATTACCTGAATTCATTCGATCAACTCGTTCTGCTGGATTATATAGACGCCTGGCTGCTATGAGTCGACGAAATAAACTTTATGGTTTTATACAAGGAGCGACAAAAAATTCTTTGCAAATAAATTATATCGATAACACTAAAAAAATAAAAGGGGGGAAACCGCCAGGTTACGCATCGTTAAATCCATGCTTGCCGTGTTGGAAGGGCATAAAGCGACCGTTTAAAAAAAGATATACGAGGCTATTTGTTGCAGAAGTTGAGGGTTTCCTAGAGCTTGGCTCTCGGTAATTGTTATAATTAAGTTTTTTCAAGAGTCGGTTTAGAGCCAAACCAAAATTGAAGTGGAATCTAATTGGAAAAACAAAATCTCTGGGAAAAGCTTAACGCTGTTTCGACGTTCAAAGCATCATTACGGTCTATCAGATAGATGCTTGGCTGGACACTTGACAGGCAAACATTCGTATAGTGGGTAAATAATTTGATTTCTGAAGATCAGGAAAATTAGTATTGGCGTGGCTTAATTGGATACAACTCGGAAAGGGTGATTTAGATTATTATAATTACAACATTAATCGAAAAGAATATATTCTTTTCATATTTCGTATTTTCAAATAGAGATGAGAACTATCTTGTTATGTCAGAATATCTCAAAAATACATATTTTATTTATGAAGGACCAGCCTCCCTGCAGGCTGACAAGATTTAAAGCAGCTAATCCAGTTTCCAACGTGTCCGAATCGTAATTAGAAACTAGAGAACATAAACTATTCATCTCGAGGGATAAGAAACCGTCAGATGGCAAGAAAGGATCTTCCCTGCCGGTCTGACCGTCGTCGTCTCGGTACATAATTCACCCGCACACCGGTTTCTGGGAATCAAGGTCAGTCAGCCCGTCCAATTTGGACAAGGCACCTTGGTCTGGCATGGAAATGTTAAAATTAAAGTTTCCTTACCACGAAATATCCTTGTTATGAGAGCGTTTCGAAAATAAATATATATTGAGACGTCGTAAAAATATTTTTATGGCCTTCAAGGAAACAGCTGCATTTTAAACGTGGTATGGATAAAATCAGAATCAGTTTAGAAAGACGAAATGATTTATTGGCCAATAGCTGGAAGTATTGTCATTGGTAGTGAACAAAAAGCGATAAAGAAGAGAAGATAAATAATAAATTCGTATAGATTGCGGTGTGTAAATAATTGAAGTTATTTCATTAAATAAAACTTTGTCAACTAGCCTTTGAGATAAAATATGCACTAACGAGGATACTTCATATTAGGGGTTTTAGCAGCCTTTCCTCCTTTGGATGAGATTTACATAATAACTTGTTCCTTACCTGACAAGAAAAGCATCCTTCAGTAGTAATAAGTTTGTCCTTTGATCCGCTAGCATATCGTTCATCGATAGGATAAGTTGGTACATCTCCTATATCGTAGCCAGCCATAACAGGGGTGACAGTTGACAGACAATGTCCTTGTCCGATACGGGTGTATCCTTGCGGACATCCACAAGAGAAACCGGTTCCGCTGGATGAACATCCGAAAGCGCATGGAGCTCCCATACATTCGGGTGCCGACTAAAAAACAAAACAAATCTTTCTGTAAGTCTTGAAAAAATATTTGGTAGGTAATTTTGTTACAGAGTTGTTTCACGTGCTGGCCAAATATTAGTTTTATGGGTATTTGGTAATGTTCATGAGTTTTCAAGAAAACCAATGAACTAATAATTCATGACGAGAAGGAGAAAGAAGATTTCGGTCAAAGGTGGCTCTGATCCTATCGTTGTTTCTCCTCAAAAAGTTTGGTAATTGTTATTTGCAGCATAATTTATAATCAACTCAAATGTAATAAGTATAGTTTGTTACACTAAGTTATCCTTTTCCAAATCTGTTTTCCATTGGCCTGAAAAAAGAAATTGCGTTTCCAAGATTGTCACTATTTGTTTAACTCGCATCGATAAAAATTAGACCCTGCGGTCTTAAAAGCTCGTTAGAATCACGCCCCTACGTCCGTCGATCAATCATTCTCCCCAGTTCCAAACTTGAATCCCATATCCACGGGCGCAATGTTTATATAGAACGTTTTTATTGCATTTGGCTCAATATATCACCTGAAGAAACGTCTGTATCGGACGGGCGTGTTTTTCGAAAAGGTAAATTTTCGCTTATTGACAGACCGCGATTAAGGGCCTAGAACTTAAATGAGACGCAGCAGCCGGCGACGCCGCTCGCCGAGCCACGAATTTAAATTTAATTTGTTTTGTCAGACTTGACGTCTGCCTGACTGGAAACCCAAGTTAAACCGGAATTATAATAAAACGTTGAAGACTGACTGAATGGGATTAAATTGTACGTACGAATTGAATTCAATTCTCTCCCTATAACTTTTTTTTTCTTGGCTTAGAGCATTTCAATAGCGTCGGAGTGTGAAGTGCGAAATTTGCTCTACATCACTTCGCTCATTTACTACACAATTAACCAATCTGCTTCCAGTATAACTGGTAATGGATCGATTTTTCGAGTTGCACATAAGTATTTGTGAAGAGGTAGTTGCTCTCAATGTCATAACAATCTTGAAAACAATGATGCTCAGCTTTAGTGATGAAGTGATTTTTGTGACTAATCCTTCAACTGATGATTTATGTGGATATTTTTGAAACAATTTAATCTTCTATTAAGAATGAAATATTCATATAAAGTGCATTGAGCTGTCTGTATCCGCCCACCGAAATGTTTAACCCCTTTTATTAATGAATTTACTATGGTCCATAATGTGCTCCGTTTGCTCAGAGAAAAAAATATTAGGTGTGAGTTGATAGTTTAATCAGTACAGAATGGCGAGGGCGCCACTAAATTAAAAAAAAGAAATTATGAAATTACACAAAATATGGAAGTGTGAAAATTCAGAAACACACCTAGAAAATAATTAGCAAACGATAATTGGTAATCCTAAAAAAAAAAATAATAATAATAATAATAATAATAATAGCATAACAACAAATTGTACCTGAATATACTTGCCTCATAAATTCATTAACTTTAGCTACCAATATCATCAATTTGAAAGGAAAGGAAAATATAAAGATTTACGTTTCCTGAAAACTAATTAAAAAACTTGAACGATTTAAAAAATTCTATCAATAAATATGATTAATCTCTGCAAAAATAGATTAAAAAAAAAAACAAGTTGTAAAAAGTACAAAGGTTGGGCTATAAGTCAAATGGTCGACTCGAAGGAAATCCTCCGATATATAAGTTATAAGAGCCCGGGTTAAAAACTGATCAATTTTCGGCGGCAAGCTATTATTCACGAATTCAAATTCAGAACATGTTGTCCAACCTTGACCCTTATTCACTCATTACTGAAATCCACTATCATTGAAAATTGTCTGGCAAAATCGCTACCAAAAATAAAACTGTGTACCAGGGATGGTACCACTAAAGCTTTTAAGACTTGACAAGTATCATTAAGGTAAATCAATAATACCGCTAACTTTCTGTTGTGTGCCATCAGCTAGCTGTAACACACTTAATGCAAGAAGGATTTATGACGATATCGGAATTTTTGAGAAACTTTAAACCTTCTGAACCAACAATAGAAATCGTTGCGCCACTATCAAATAATCCGACAACTTCAAAATCAAATGTATTAACCTTTATGTAAGGTCGATTGTCGAGAGTTCGAAGCACAAAGACAGGAGCTAGTTCAGCGGTATGGTTTTCAAGTTCTGAAAAAGGTATCGAAAAAGATACAAGATAGTCCTTGTAGAATTCAAGGTAAGCGATTTGTTCAGTAGAAGGATAGGTATTGTAAGTAAGAAGATTGGCCGATAAGGTAGGTAATATACAACGGCCTTGTCGTATACCACCAGAATTTAGTTTTTTGGATTACAGGTAGGAAACGTTTTCACGGTTACATCTGCTAAACCACAACGAAAACAGAATTTCTTTGTCTGGCGATGACAATCAAAGTAAAAATGACCGGTACCAACACAATTCCAACACTTCAGGAGCGTTGCGGGAGTTAAACTGGGAATTGTTCTGGGTAGTAATCTGAGAATTTCGAGCTGAAGGCTGAGAATTATTTCTAGGAGATTGTGAGTTCCGGTAGGGCTTTGAGAAATGAGAACTACTCGAGACTGCAAAATTCTGAGAATTATTTCTGGTGAAATTACTATTTGCAGAAACCTGATTCCTAGGGAATTGTTTATGCTTCACAAAATTGGCTTCTTTTAACTTTTTAACTAGGATAATGAGTTCATTAACGGAATTTATTTCTTGGAGAATCAAAGCAGAGAAGTATTCAGGAAATAAGTTTTATTTAATATACTTAATCTTAGTTAGTTCGACAAGTGGACGTGATAGACGAGAAAAGAGACTCTCCATTTGAGATGTGAAAATAGAAATGGTTTCGAATTTTCTCTGCTTTCTAGCTTTGATTTGTTCCCATATTTCATCGTCACAATTTGAGGGGGTCAATTCGTCCCAGGTACTGTCTGAAGTTTTGACATTTCTAAACCATATTAGGCCATCACCAGAAAATAATAAAGTGGCAGACTTGAAAAGTTGTTCATCGGTAACATCATACACGGCAGCATGCACGGAAACTCTCTCAAGAAAGTCATACACTCTTCTGGAATCTCCAGTAAATTTTAAGTTCCATCCGGGAATGAAATTTTTGTTATTAGAACAAGATAAATTAGCGGGAAACACAGAAACATTTGCTTGAGGAGCCAAGGTAGAGTTAGCGAAAGCAGGTGGAGCTTGAGCGCCCTGAAATTGGTCCACTTTTTCATGAGTATCAGCATCAAGAGTAAGATAACGGACATATGCCTCATGTTTATATTTCTCAACTTCGTTTTTGGTGTCATCCTCAGGGACGATAAGTCTTTGGATACGTGCCATTACATGTGCAAGACGGGTTTTGATTCTGAGGAAAAGTGTATCAGAAGGATTGCCTTGAAAGTCAGCAACCAAGGTAGTGATGCTAGCAATTGTGGTATCAATTTCTATAGACTCGGTAGGAAATTCAAAGGAAAATTTATAGACACCAACATTTGTAATACCACCCTGAGCTTCTTTATCTAAAAGGCGCTTTAGAAGTCTAATTTTTTCAGGACGTCTACAGTTAGCAAGGACTCCTCTAAACTTCAGCTCATAATCAATTTCGGACACAAGTAAATGGCGGGGTCTAATAGAATCTGCCATATTTGATTACTTTTACTAATTGAAGGTATAGGAAAATATGTTACTGTCAAAATAAAGTAATTCGAAATCACTCAAGTAATACCGGTACACCCAAAGTCAAGTAGTTGAGTTATGCCAGAAGAAAAGATAAAAGATAATACCAAACTGTACAATATTTAATCGATGTTATTATTTAAGATGTTCTAGGTTCCTTAAGTTGGGCGCTAATTTATGTAACCCATTTTGTTAATGAATTAACTATGGGTCCATAATATGCTCGGTTTGCTCAGCGAAAAAAATATTAGGTGTGGGTTGATAGTTTAATCAGTACAGAATGGTTTCCAGAAAACTAATTGAAAAAATTGAATGATTTAAAAAATTCTATCAATAAATATGGTCAATGTCTGCAAAAATAGATTGAAAAAAAAACAAGTTGAACCTGTAAAAGAAAATCAAAGGTTGGGCTATAAGTCAAATGGTCGACTTGAAGGAAATCATCCGATATATAAGTTATAAGAGCCCGGGTTAAAAATTGATCAATTGTCGACGGCAAGCTATTATTCAAGAATTCAAATTCAGAACATGTTGTCCAACCTTGACCCGTATTGATAAAATTGATAAAACATAAGTTAGTATCAGAAGTTATGCTAACATAGTTAAATTAATAAACTAAGAACCAATTTTCTTTCGCCATTGTGTCATAATCATAGTTTTGTTAATAGACTGTAAAAATGATTTTATGAAATAAAAAATTTAAGTTAAGAGTTATTAGTGAAACTTATACAAGCCTCCATCCCAACATAAGGCAGCTCCGGAAACCATCCATTCTCGTCTCTCGATTTCTGGACGAAAGGGGCCACACATAGAACTGTATCCAGAATCCAGGCAGAAAAGGGACTATAATCGTCGTCAAAAGTGGGGCACACGTACCAACCTGTGGGGTCTTGATTCTAGTAGGGTAGGAAGCCCTTCAAAGGCTCAATATCAAGCTCCACAGAAATGGTGTTGATTTGAAAATGTGGCCTTTTTGGCATGGACTTGTTGGGGAAATCGGCCGTTCGGAAGACCCCAAGTAATAATGCATTTCTTGAAAAGCCATTACTTATAAAACTTGAAAGAACTTACCACGTTTTTGGGTGGGAATTCAAACTTAAATCAAACCGCAATCACGAAACTTTTTGATTCGAATTTTTCTCAAATCGATAGATAATTGCCACACGCAACTTTAATTCGTTAGACAAGGCAACGCCCAAAGACCGGTAAGATCTTTTTTCAACTTTTCAGTTCAACGAGACAATTCAAAAGGGACGAGAATCGATTTCCTACGGGCCAGGTAAGTACGGATACAGCGCTTCCTCTCCAGATAGCCACGGAAATTGTTGGTACTAACCACTGTGTTAAATTTAAAAGAAAATTGCGCCCTCTAGTGTAATAATTTAATAATTGCTATATAATCAATAGCGGGAACCATGTGTTTTTTAAATGTTAGTCACCAGACTGTCAACATTTAAAAGGGTTATATAAAGTTAAATTTGAAAGAAAAAAGGACAAGTAACTTTAAACGTTACAAATGACATCTTCAATGCTTCATCAGTGATTGAAGAAAATATGACATTTTGGAGGCAACAACATTCTTTCAGGAAAAATGTGTCAGTATCAATATAATAGTCAACCATCCAAGGACCTTTTTTTTCAGTTATACATGTAAACCCCATACTTTGTGAGTGGCTAGCTTACATCAAGTCCTACAACTTTTCCTCTACGACTTTTCTCGGAAATGGCACGTATGCGCGCAGGCGACTCGCAAACATGTCGATCTGACGTAGCTATGTTTCCTGATACATGTAGGTAAATCTAATTTTACGAATACTGTTTGATTTTTATGTCTAAATCACGGAAATCAACTTGGCCGACGAAAATAATGGCAAATTGGTGGAGTCCGATACCCCCAAAATGTCGATCTGACGTGGTTATATTTCTTGATACATGAAAATCTAATTTCACGAATAATGTTTGATTTTTATTTCTAAATCACGGAAATCAACTTGGCCGACAAAAATAATGGCAAATTGGGGGAGTCCGATACCCCTAAAATGTTTGCGAGTCGCCTGCGCGCATACGTGCGATTTCCGAGAAAAGTCCTAGAGGAAAAGTTGTAGGACTTGATGTAAGCAAGCCACTCACGAAGTATGGGGTTTACATGTATAACTGAAAAAAAAGGTCGTTGGATGGTTGACTATAAATATATCAATTTACTTGCATTCTGCAAGATTTCATGGGAGCTTTCAATCGCTTTATTCGCATTAAGTAGATAGTTTCCAAGTTACGATTAAAGAAGATTTATTTCTCTCTTTCCTTCCAACAAATTATTCCTGATTCTCACATACTCACTAAAACAGTTTTACCGGATCCATGTCCCGAGGCATGTCCTACTCTCCGCACAATAGTACTAACCTATATTATACATCTGCGTTATACGCATAACATATTTCTCACAACCGGGGCGGTTTCGATTAGCCGATTGAGGAAATTATTTCATATGTCACCGTTCGTCTTTTTTATTCTCCAAACTTCGTTACATAAATAACTACGAGGGTGAAAAAAGCGGGAGATTCTCGAGCTGTTATCAAAAACTTAGTTCAATAAATTTCCCACGTAATCACCTAAGAAACGAACATCCCACTGGCTGAATACAAATGGGCGTTTCCTGTCGATGTAGCCGTTGCAGAATATCAAGTCCCTGAATTAAGCGAATATCCAGCTTGGCTGTTTATCGACAAATTTTTTTTATAGTACCTTTTTGGATAAAGTTTATTTGGGGCGCTGATATTTTCATACGCTATCTGTTTTCTGGAATTTCTGTAATAAAATGTGTCGCTTTACGAATAAATACAAAAGCGAAAATGGAAAAAACATATCTAAATGCATATCAAAAATATTATTTTAGAGCGTGAGACGTAATCTAACTTTTCTTATTTACATGCAAAGTGAGAGATAACCCCCCTGTCGCCCCAGCCTTATCCGTGGTTATATATAATATCAAGGGCGGGGGGATCATATTTTGTTTAAAGAGATATTTGATTTTACGCTAGAGCTGCTACGAATAAATCAGGCCACTCCTCCTTTCTCTCAGAGAAAATAAGAGGTTTTAGAGGATTTTGTCGTCGACGGCAGCCAGCTACGGCTGTTTCATATTTTGGCTTTGACATAAGATTTTTTTGGCTTTTCTTTTCCGGCGAGCCTGACTATTTACGACGCCGAGATAATGGAACAATATCGAGCCTGGAGCTAACGCGAACCTAAATGGAATTGATATTGGATTGTGGATTGATAAGAATTGTGTTGTTTGGAAATAGTCCAATATACACTTAACAGACTCCATTTATATAAAGGAAAATTGTCAATACGAATTTTGAGAAAAAATTGAGACATTTGTTTAGTGTTACATGCAAGCTATGCAGATGGGGGGTGTGGATCATGTTCGAAATTAAACTTAATTCATTCATATGTATAAGTGATGTAAAGGCAAGTCGAATCAGAATGAAGCTCACATCATATAATGTGCTGCCGGAGATTTTGCATGTAAGAAATTGGTATACTTGATCAGTATAATTCCACTATTATCCTGATCTATATCAACTTGAGATGACTGAAGAACTTGGAATAGTTTGTTTGAACCGGAAACATTAGAAGAGGCACTTTAAAGTCTAGACAGATAAATCAGTGAAATTAAGGAATCTATCTAAATAGGTAAGAACATATTTTTTTGTCCCCCCGTAAGGTCAGAGGAAATTTCTGCATAAGCTGCGACATCTTTCATAGCAATTGTAGATCGTGTTTGACGATCCAAAGCTGGAACCAAATTTGTAAAAATTAAGTTTGGATGTCTAATTGGCACATACACACGTATTATTATTTATTATCATTCGACCCAATTTTGATCCAAAACTCATGCAATACTAATGGACAATCGGTGTGGCACGCAAAATCTCGCAAATGGCATTTTTCCATTTACGAATTTATTTAATTCATAAACGCGCCCGGCGTGATATTTTAATGGAACGAAATTTTGATTTATGTCCGGGACTGGGGCTTTTGAATTTTAAAACGTTTACTCTGGATTGGTTAAATTTGGCGTTGTCGTTCGGAATTGAATTTACAAAAGCGAACCCATTAATCTGGAACTTGAATGTCATAAATTACCGGCTGACGCGGCCGCGTCAATGCCGCGAGAGCAGCCGATCAATGAAAAATTAATTTCGGAAATAATAAATAAAATAAAAAAAGTTTTATTAATTTTTATATTCTCACCTGTACACAAATGTTCAATCTAGGATCAAATTGGTATCCCTCAGGGCAACCGCACCTGAAGCTTCCAGGAGTATTGAAGCAGTTGCCTGTACCTCCACAAGGGCTGTTCAGGCATTCATTTTTGTCCACACATTGATTGTAATAGGGATTAAGAGAATAACCATCTGGGCAGCCACATCTGTATCCTCCAACCAAATTTTGACAGCCTGCAATATGATTTAAAACATCTAAGTCAAATTCGCACTTCTTTTCTCTCGTCTTTTCCCACTTTGGCTATTACCATCAGAGAGGGAAATCGTTGTTTATTAGTCAGTTATCATTACATGGCAAGACCGAAACCAAGCGCGATGAACATTTACGACCAGAGTTTCGTGTTAAAGTTGAGGTTAATGTTACTTTGAAGTTCGTTAAGTGTTGTTAAGTAATTGGTTATTTGACTGTAAATAAGGTGGAGGTGTCACTACGTATATCCTGGCAAACAAACACATTACGCTGCTCAGAATATACTCGAGCAGGCTTGTTTCCGAACTAGTTTGGAGTTTGTATCTATTTAGAATCTCTTCTGGTTTATTGCAAAATGTTCGTACGTAATACGGTGAATGGTTTTTCATTTGAATTTCCAATGCCTTTGTAGTCACTTACCCTCAGCACATTTGGTATCGTCAATGCATTCGTCAGCGTCGGTACAATAGGTGCCCGTAGAGTCCAGTTTAAATCTTCTGGGACAAATACACTTGAAACTCCCGAGGGTGTTGACGCACCTGCCCGGCTTGGGACAAAAGCCTGCCTTGTCGCATTCGTTAATATCTGAAAACAAAATTTGCCACAATGAAATATACACGTGTTTTTGTTGGTTTTAGAAAATACAGTTTATATGTGACGTTGGAAATAAAACAAAATTCAAATTCAGGCAACGTACGTCTGTTCACCCAAAATGCAGCAATTCACCTGACAAGTCTTTGCACTAAAACTTACATCCCCTCGTTCAAAACCAAAGCTAAAATGCACGACGTGTCTCTCGTTCTCCGCCATAAGGACTCTCGGGCTGGGTGGGTTCGATATATAAGTTGTGTGGCTTTAATTTACGGCGGATATACGACGATGTTTTGCGCGAAACACGCTAAATTAAATTTAGGAAATTTGCTAAGAACTTAAGAAATTTACGACATTGTTTCCTTTCGAAACACAAAAGTGATTAAAAGTTTATTGTAGTCATAGAAAAATGCAGTTTTTCTCTGTATAAGGAAGTTTTCTATAGAAAAGTTTTATTAACCTTTATATTTCCCGAAAGCCAGCACTTAAACTTTATTTCGCACAGATACAAACAAACATATAAACTGCCATACATCATCCACGTTCCTTCGACTCCCATTTTCTTTTTATCGCGACTCCTGCTGCTATGGGTCGCTTGAAATAAGTGGTGTTTCGCCAATATCTCAACATAATTACTTGCCGTGTGTGGTTTGCTTTAACGGGGGAGGCTTTTCAGCGTTGACTTGGCCAAGTCCCTAATGATTCGGGAGCAAAGCCTCCTAAGATATATAGTATCTCGCAATAATCCAGAGGGAACAAGTTACTCCGTACAGTTTACCACCGCAAAGGTTGGATACGAGATGAATGGTTTAACACGTTGAGTGAGCCTTTGCCAGGTAGATATGCTAGGATTTAAGCACATGTAGATTTTGTTAGTTTATTTTGTAGAAACATACTATGAAATGTTCTTGTATATGAAAGTTTCTTTGTTAATATGATGTTGTGTCTCATGTTATTAAAGAGTTCGTGAAATTGTCAACATCTTTTTATCAAGAGATTTAATGAATACATTAATTTTTGATTTAAAATCTTCAGCAGCCCACTAAGCCCATCATTATGTTAACTAGACAGACAAACAAATTGAACAGAATTTCGGTTTCTTTTCTCTATGAATTCCGGAGCAACAAAAGTGTAGAAGCCAGAAGACATGCCAAGTGACGTATTACCGAAAAGAAAAAGAAAGTATTAGAGCACGGTTCTCAATTGCTACATTATCCAGTTTAACTCGATGATAAGGATGTCCTTAAACATCATATATTTATGAGAGGAAAGATATATTTCCAAATGAGCCAGATATCATTCACCTATAACCAACAACTTACTTTAATTGAGTTTCCAAATTGAGATAAGAAAGAGTTTAAAAGTCTATTTCACCAGGATGTATTAAATATAGTTTGGACGATCATACAAAGAGGCACTTGGATGTTTATCCTTTCGAATGTGACACTTGTCAAGCAAAATTCAAACAGGAACAAAGTTTGGACGATCATATAAAAACGAATTCAGGTGTTTATCCTTTTGAATGTGACTCTTGTGAAGCAAAATTTGAATATAAACAAAGTTTCACTAAGATACACTCGGATAGTTATCATGTCAAATGTGACACTTGTAGAGCGGAATTCAAATATAAAAGCACATTCACCAGGCATTTGAATTTGCACTCCGATAATAATATTTCAACAATTCAAAAGTCTATTTAACCAGGATGTCTCCTCACTGGTAAAAAATTAACAAATTTGCCCTCGGTGATTGCCTTTCCTGATTAGAAAATTTGATGTAGTTTTCACGACACAGCTGCAGTATAATTTTGTAATATGTACGATCGTAAAGTTTAAACTATGCCCTCGGCAAATAAAAACTTTTTTCCAATGTCGCTCGCTTATATTTTCAAAACAGCAATAAGCCGCTAGGTGTAGAACACGTTCAGCGCAAACAACAACTGCTATTTAAATAGCGCGCATTAAGGGGCCCGGCTTTAATAAAACATTTAAACGCGATGGTGATTAAGCAAGTCCTCGTGGAGCAATCCGAAATTCAGTTGCAACATGTTTGCATTATTCTCTGTGACGATGTCGGCAGGAATGCATATTAATTTTATTTCATTTCCCCCTGCATAGACGGGTATGAATGTTTCATGTCTCGTGATAATCGTCGTTCCGGAGGATATGACTGTCGTCTATATCTATGTACGTCTCTGTATATGTATTTAATGCCGCTCTAAATATATTAATAAATATAGGATTTGAAACGTTTAGTTAGTTGAGGATTTCAGTTTACATTCAACAGTGTTTACGGTTCAGGTATTTCAAATGAAAATTAATTTTTAATTAAAAAACTGAATTAAATATAGAATTCTAATATTTGCTACCGAACCTAATCAACATATAATACCTTCACATTTGTCTCCAACTTGGGTGTAACCGTCATCACAGGAGCACTTGTAGCTACCTTCAGTGTTGATACAGTTTTGCTGACACAAATGTTGTCCGGTAGCGCATTCGTCCAAATCTCTACAATTCAATCCGTCAGCATTTAGCAAATAACCACTGGGGCATGAACAAATGTAGCTGCCTTCAGTGTTTTGGCAGGTGAATTGGCAAGGAGAACGATCACATTCATTGATATCTAGAAATTGTAATTACCGTATAGTTATTATGTAAATTATTATGGAAAACTTAAATCTCACCAATACAGTTGAGTCCGGATCCATCACTTTTGAAACCTCTATTACAAATACACCTATAAGATCCCAATGTGTTGATGCATCGTCCATTTTTGCACAAGTCTGGTATCGTTTCGCATTCATTAATGTCTTCTCCAGTGATCAAAAATCCACTTTCCAAACACAACTCTTGGTATTCCACAGAATATCTGGTAGGGCATGCTTCGCATCGCGGACCCCAAGCTTCGCCCATTGAGCAACAACAATCGGCTTTTGTTGATTTAAATGCGTGCTCGTATCTGTTTGTACATTGTCGGTTGCGGTAGCAGAATCCTTCGCGATGGTCTAAAATATCAAAATAGTTGCGTGCTTTTGAGGGTTATTGATGTTACGTACCGATGCAACGCTTTCCGTCTTCGCTATGCTCAAATCCTTCATAACAATCGCATCTGAAGGACCCCTGTAAGTTGATACAGCGTCCGTTTTCGCATAAATCAGGCTGGGTGTCGCATTCGTCAATGTCTCTACAATCATCTCCATAACCCACTTGGGTGTAGCCCTCGGGACAAATACACATAAAAGATCCTACTAAGTTTTTACACATGAAGCGACAATTATTAGCTGGAGTATTACATTCGTCGACATCTAGAAGCAACAAAATTAAATTAAAAGGATTCGTAATAATTTGAAGTTTACCTTGACAATGTCTTCCATCTGGAGCCAGAGCATATCCGTAAGGACAGATGCACCTAAAGGAACCTGGAACGTTGTGGCACCTAAAGGCACATTGGTTGCCTAATTCTTGGCATTCATTGATGTCTTCACAAACCTAAAGAATCGATAAAACTCGTCCGATAAAAGAGTTTAGGCGGGATAATTCTCTTCTTCACTCCCACTGCCTAGTTTCCTCCGCAAATATGAACCAAAATTGCATACTCAAATTAACAATATGTAAATAAATTCTAGATTGGCTCCCTCCTGTCTTGCCAGTAACTTATACGAAACAAATTTTCTACTTGTCATTCTGAACAGTGCCCTCTCGACTGCCAATAAGAAAAATCCTTTGCCAAACGTAATAACGTAGCGCACTCTGCATACAACAATAATACACAACTCGCATGAAAAGTGTACTCTTGCGTAATACAAGTGAGTCGTTCGCTTCCTTGGACCAAAGTATACATCATTATTGCGGATTTTTCCAGCCGGATCGAGACGCGAAAAAGCCCCCCGCGTGATTAAAAATAATGAAGCCACTTAAAATGCGAACTTATATTTTACTCGAGGAAAATAAATTTTTAACCTGAGATGACGTTTAATGGGCACTTACTTTCGCATTTTAGGTGTTTTTGTTCAGATTTATTATTCGTACTATAAGCGCTTCCAATTATTTACGAAACACAGCATCCCTTATCCCATTTATCCACAAAAAGGTTCAATATCCCAACCCCCACATTTGACCCTTAGCCTTAATACACAAAAAAAAAAGGGATATCATTACCTGCATAGGACCGGGTGCGAATCCATCATTACACCCACACTCGAACCCGCCTATCAAATTGGAACAAGTGCCGTTCCCGCAAATGTTCGGGTTAATGTAACACTCGTTTTCGTCGACGCACTTTTTGCCAGTTCCGTCCAAAGTGTAGCCAGTTGAACAGTCGCAACGGAACGAGCCGTCAGTGTTAACACAGTCGCCGCCCTCGCAAGCATTTGGCATCAATTCGCACTCGTTAAGGTCGCTTCCGGTGTCCATTCTGCCCGGACCTTCGGGACACATCTTTTGAAAAGCGGCTAAAATAATTCAATTGAATTTTTGCTGGATATATTAAATTAATACTTACGTGATCCTTCTAGGGGACATTTTTCGCAATATCTTCCCCATGCTGCTCCTTTTGAGCAGCAACATTCTTTAGCAGTAATTTGCATTCCCCTAGGCTCTGAGCAGGTACCTTTTGTGAAAGAGTCATAACACTGGTCTTGCCTAAAACAGTTTTTGAAAATTATGCACTCAAATAAAAAAAAAGCTTGTCATAAATACAAAAGTTATGAAAAATAATAACGCACCTGACATCTATACAAGTCATGGTGCTTTGTTCCAAAATATATCCATCGGGACAAGTGCAAAAAGCTCCACCATCCGTATTAACGCATTGGCCATTTTCGCATATTCCTGCATTTACAGCGCACTCATCAATGTCTTCGCATAATCCTGTAACCGAACTTAGCTCGTATCCATCTGGACAGGTACATATAAATGAACCCATCACGTTGGTGCATTTGCCTGGAGGTGGACACGTGCCGGAAGCCTGCGACACGAAATATTCGTTTGAGCAATAAAAAATATGTTCTTCGTCATACTTTAAATTACGTTACTTTCTACCCCACTTTGAAAAAGACTGCAGCCTTTAATCTCTCGCACAACTTTGCCCTTAAATTAAAAAGCTGCCTCGCCTTGCCGGAATTTCACTTTTTATCTGCGACGATATTAAGCAGCCATTTCATTTTCCGTGAATTTTTCATTAGTTTTTTTTTTGCTTGTGTTAAATATTTTCGTGTCAAAAGCGTTATTGCATTTTCCGTGATGTAGGTCACCTAATTGGGGAGTATAGAAGTGAGAAAATTGAAATTGTTCTAACTATTTGGATTCTAGCAACGCCTGAGTAGGACGACATCATAATCTACTTCGTAGTGGAAACTTTGGTAGTGGCTGAACTTTTCAAGGTCCTAAGTAACCAGGCTATCATAAGTCTTGATATGTTTCACCCGGAATAACTTGGGACTGGCTTAAATACCTCTCACAAGTCGGTGAGACTCTGACATTATTTCTGCCCGAATCGAGAAGTTTTACATTATGGAAGCCTCAAAGTAGACTGGTGGACGCCTAATCCTGACTTAACGTTCCAAAGGGAGCCTGATCTTGGGCTCCTCTAGAGTTGGAGGGACGACTTTTGGTACTTGCTCTAATACCTTGACCGGTAGATACTACCTGCTCACCTTTGTTGGGCTATGAACCTCAGCGCTGTCATCGTCCGGTAAAGATTTCGTAGAACTAGGCAGACCAATATCAGTTTGTCACCTATGATCGTCTTCGGTGAAATCGATCCCCTGTAACTTATTCCAGAACAATGGTATCCAAATCTTTCATGCTATTACGTACAAATTTTGCCTTAGTACGTAACTGGAATTTCAAATAAATTCAGTAATTAATTCAGGTATTTGTAAGGGTATGTATGAAGTTTTATACCTGATGATTTATATTTTTCGGTGATTGAAAGGTATCTCATTGAATTTTACTAGATTTCTACCTCTTTGATTGGATGCGAAATAATATGTGGGTGTTGAACAAAAGTATATTTTTCGGGGTGATATTGAGTTAATTCTTTGTATTCAGATGACATGGGAGTTTTAGGATGATAAAGCCCTACTGTTAGTATCGGAATTTATTTTATTTAGCTTACGAAAGTTGTCTTAAAAGCCGTTAATGAAAATTCTGCAACATCACAAATCACTTTCACATCCTTTAAATCGCTTTTTCACCCTTATTTGCACTAATATATACATTTTCCTATTTATTTTCGCCGAATAAGTGTGGTTATGGGATACTTGTTGATCCTGTGCAGCAAGCGCTGTTACCGAGGTTTCTTGACGTTTATTGCTAGGGCGTTGCTACTATACATTGCTCTCACTGAACGAGTGGTCATTTTGATAGTTTTTAGACGAAAAACCGGGTAGGGGATTATTTAATTAGTGTTAGGGGAGAAAAATGTTGCGCAAAAATTAACCCTTAAACTGTTTGAAAACTAAATTTGAATAAATAAACCCTAATAGGCCTAGGTACAATAAGACACCCTTAAGGAATGCGGCCAGCGGAACAAAGTGCTCGCGGCTACTCAGTGGTGTGAAAGTAGGTTCATTATATAGTTTTAGCTTTATAGGGCGCCACTGGTTTACGAAATAAAATCCGCGGACTTAAACCAGAAAGTCCCTGATCCCTCAAAAATTCCTCCAAGATGTTCCCACCTGATGTACCTATCCCTTAAAAACAACTTTACCTTAGTTTGGATGAGGTCAGTAGGGGTAAAATAAGAGTCATCTAAAAACAATGATTATAAATTTATTTAATATAATCTGGGGGGTATGCTTAGAACTGCAATGGCATTCCAAAGGCCAATATAAGGCAATATATAAAATACCACAGTAATTATTATTAAATGTAATTGGAAAAATTACCAAAAGGTAGCAAGGGCCAACTTGTAATGGTCTTTAAGAGACTCCAATAAATTCAAGATTTACCAATAAATGTTTGACCACCTTACCCCAATGGCAGTAAAAGAGAACAAATAATTAATAAGGAGATTAATAATATTATTTGAAACCTGTGCACGCTTATACCATGATATACCGGGATGGGTTTGTACCTTGTCACCTTAAATATAGTAAATTAATATTCATTGAGACAGTACACCCATTGTAATAACTGTAATAATGAAGGCGGTAAAACAAACTTGGAAATGTACCAAGTTAAAAATAAGAAATACTAATAATAATAATAAAAAATAATAGTTAAGAAACGTTAATAAATCAACGGGTACATCACCCCCTTGTGGTCCTGCCTGCAGTATAAACATCCATTACTATTACTGTCTCATGACAGCCTCACAGCCCTGATAACGAACCCATTAACTTCTTTTGACTTCCCTTCCTAAATAGGGCAACTTTCAGTTCCAAGTACATTGTTGTGTGTACTCTGACACCCCAACTTCGAGACTAGCAAACCATCGAAAACGAAGAACCCAATGGTAAAGTAAAATCTAAAAATCCTAGTTACAATTCGGGCTCAGTTGAACAAAACGTGCTCGCTTCTCGCACCGACAATTCAACAAAATGGCGTAGATTTTCGTCTCCAGAAAATTCTGAGTGGTTGGCTTACAAATACGGGGATTTACGACCAAATCCAAGTTTTCATCCCAAAACCAATTAAGCCAGCAACCACTTGAGTTCCCAACGCCTCTAAAATCCCACAAAAGTGGATGTTCCAAGGAACGCAGCAAAGAGGACCCCTGGTAAAATCTGCCAAACAATTTGTTGCTTGCTCAACGTGCGAATTTAAAGAGAACGACCCTTTTTCGGCAATTTATTAGGTGAGCTCATATGAAAAATTCCCCAGAATTATATTTTTTTCCAAGATGCCCTCAGGTCTTGACCAGGAAAACGAGACAAACAGCTTGAAACGAACAACCCAAACCACATTGATAACCAACAAAACTCAAAGTTGTTATCCAATTTTCTCCCCTAACACCAATTAATTAATTAATAATCGTCATCTACCCGGTTTTCAGTCTAAAAACTATCAAAATGACCACTCGTTCAGTGAAAGCAATGTGGTAGCAACCAACGCCCTAGCAATAAAGGTCAAGAAATCTCGGCAACAGCGCTTGCTGCACAGGATCAACAAGTGTCCCATAACCACACTTATTAGGCGAAAATAAATAACCGGAAAAATGTAAATATTAGTGCAAATAAGGGTGAAAAGGCGATTTAAAGGGTGTGCTAATTGATATTTATTCGGAAGTAAACAAATATTTTCATCAACAGTTAGGGCTTCTTAGACAACTTTCGTAAGCTAAATAAAATAGATTTCGATACTAACAGTAGGGCTTTATCATCCTAAAACTACCATGTCATCTGAATACAAAGAATTAACCCAATATTACCCCGAAAAAATATACTTTTGTTCTACACCCACATATTGTTTCGCATCCAATCAAAGAAGTAGAAATCTAGTAGAATTCAATGAGAAACCTATCAATCACAGAAAAATATTAATTCTTAGGTATAAAGCTTCATAAATTTTCTCACAACTACCTGAATGTATTTGAAATTCCAGTTACGTACTAAGGCAAAATGTGAACGTAACAATGTTAAACTTGAAGAACTTCTTTGGTAGAAAAAATTAACTTTCATACTTGCTTCACAGACAATTTTGATCACAGAATCATTCTGCCCAGTTGATCAATAACAGTGTAAGCCTTTACAACTCCTCTAGAAAATTCGCTGTTCTCCAAAGAATATCTGAATAGTGCATCCATTTTTAGCAAACAATTACCAACTTCCGATACTCCAAATTTACGATTCAGATATCCGTGTTGCAAGTGACTGCTATCTCTTTCATTTCCTTCTTTTCCTTATGTTTGCAGAATTGCCTGTTTGGCCCAACGAATCCGCACTGGTAGTAAACTTTTTCTATGAGACAAATGTATTCTAAATCAAAAATTGAATCGGAATTCTCACACAGTCGCATAGTGTATATGCTGGAGATCATTCAGTAAAACCAAAAGCTGAGAAGTTTCTACCCTCATCCAAGGAAAACCGCACCAAAATATCTAAAAGTGTAGTTGAAGAAATTCTTACCTCATGACATTCGTCCACATCCCTACAATTATGTGCATCCACTGATAGAGTATAGCCGGAAGCGCACTCACAAGAAAACGAACCTATATTATTGCGACATCTACCGTTCCTGCACAAAAAGGGCATCATGTGACACTCATCGATATCGACGCAATCGTTGTTATTGCTGAGCTTAAAGCCTGCGTTGCAGTGACATTTGTAGCTGCCGATTAGGTTTATGCAAGTGCCGTTGTTGCAGATGTTTGGATGCCTAGCGCATTCGTCTAAAAGAAACATGAGCAAAAATTTTGAAAAAAAATAGATTTTTTTTCACCTATATCCACGCAGCTATCCCTTGTAGCAGTTAGTCGATAGCCTGTATCGCAGAGACATTGGAAGCTGCCTTGTAGGTTTTTACATTCGCCGCTTTGACAAACTTGTGGCTTTTCAATACATTCATTGACATCAACACAATCTATCAAAAAACCATTTTTTGTAAGAAGTCTTTGATATTAATAGAATTCACTTACCCAAAAACGTAGACCCATGCTTGTACCCTTCAGGACATTTACACTCAAAGCTGCCTGGTAGATTAATACATTGAGCATTTCCACTGCAAGGGTTTCTGTTGCACTCATTATCATCAATACACTGATGTGACGTAATGTCGTAGATGTAGCCTCTATTGCAAAGACACTCGAAACTGCCAGGAGTATTCATGCATTGCCCATGGCTGCACATTGTTGGCATAACTTCACATTCATTGATTTCTGTTGATTGATTTGTCATGGGGTTGGTAAAGGAGCCCGGAACGTTGCCGCAGTAAGACAAAAACTCGCCTGAAAAATATTAGTTTTTTCTATTGATTGTTTAAGAATAAATATTTAAAAATGCACAACCAATACATAAATAATCTATATACCTACTGGTGCCTTGTATTGGGCAAGGTTCGCAAGGCTGGCCCCACGCTTGACCCATGGAGCAACAACATACTTTCTTGGTTTGATTTTGTGTCATCGGTGTAGCACATTGCCATCTGCTGTAGTTAAGATAGCATATATCCTTACGCATATCCACACATTCTCCTAAAAAAAACAATCATCAAAATTGAACAGCAATTTCAGGCAGATATGTACTTCTTCCTGGTAATGGCATATATCCTTCAGGACACTGACAATAATATTTTCCATGCTCATTAACGCATTCCCCAACAGGACAAATATTAGGATTTTCAGCGCACTCGTTTATATCTAGGCAAGTTGTTTTAGAATCATCCAGCCTAAAGCCTTCGTTACACGAACACATAAAACTCCCAAAAGTATTTGTACAATGACCATTTTCGCAAATATTCTCATGTTCTTCGCATTCGTTAATGTCTTCTAGGACTACAGTAAGGTCGTTAGGTTTGTAACCTTGTCCGCCAGGACATAATTGCTGATACTCGATACTGTTAGGATTAGGACAATGTTCACATCTTGGCCCCCAAGCTTTTCCTACCGAGCAACAGCAAGAAGCTTTTGTAACATAATCGGCAGTTGGTAGGTCACATCTTCCCTGACTTTCGACGTGAAGGTAGCATCTTGAAGTTCTGCGATCTATAAGAATAAATAAGTAGCTGTATAAATAATATGATTATTAATTGCTTACCTATGCAAGCATTTCCTTCGGAAACCAATTCGTAGTTTTGTGGACACAAACAATTAAAGCTACCATCCAAATTGCTACATTCACCGTAAAGACAGGATTGAGGACTTTCGCATTCGTCGATATCAGTACAGTTTCCTCCAGATCCATCTAGTTTGTAACCTTCGTGACATTCACATCTAAACATTCCCAATGTGTTCTCGCAGGTTCCGAATACACACAAGTTATTGAACATATCGCATTCGTCGATATCTAAAATATATAAAGAATTTGTGAAAAGTACTATCAATTATTTTATTTACTATTTTAAAGTAAATCACCTTAAAACTAATATAGCTATCCCATCTAGTTAGTATATGATTAATGTTAATGGTTAGTAAAAAATCTTCGTAGTTAGTCCTCTCCTAGGAGTTTTTCGATAATTGTACTGACCCACACACGATTTATCGTTTCCTTCGCTGGGATGCATAAAACCCATTTCGCATTCGCACCTAAACGATCCTGGATAATTGAGACACTGACCGTTTTCACAGAGGCCGGGGTCGTTTGTGCATTCGTCTATATCTATGCAGGAATAACCATCTCCTTTAAAGCTATAGAGATTTTTAAAACATATATTTATTAGGAAATTGGCATATGTTTGAATATATACCCTGAATCACATTCACATCTAAACGATCCATCATTATTAATACATTGAGCATTTTGATCACAACCACCATTATTTGTCAAGCATTCGTTGACGTCTCTACAACTTATTCCGTTCCCTGTAAATCCATCCAAACATCTGCATTGGTATGAACCCTTAAATTAAAAACTTCATTATTGTTTTCATCTACCTAAAACATCATCACTTACTGGGTTGTTGATACAATCCGCATTTTCATCGCAATTATACGTTCCCAAGTAGCATTCGTCATCATCTGTACATTTGAGTCCACCATCAGGCTTTACTGAATACCCATCTTCACACCGACATTGGAACGAACCTAATGTATTGTGACACTCGCCTGCGCCGCATATATTTGGATTTACTTTGCATTCGTCAATATCTATTTGAGAAATTATATTATTATATTGTCAGCAGAAAGAACATATTTCCGTAACTATATTCTTACCAAGACAAGAAGTTCCAGCTGGTCCAGCTAGCAACCCTTCAGTACAATGACAAATAAAACTGCCAATCGTATTTGTACATTTGCCTCCATTGCAAATTCTAGGATTATCTTTGCATTCGTCAATGTCAGAGCAGCTTTTTCCATCTGGATTCAATTGATAGCCAGTTCTGTAATTGAGAAGAAGTTATTTCATTCGGAAAGGTTGAGTTAAACTATATCATACCCACAAGAACAAGAGAAACTTCCTGGGATGTTAACGCAGACGTCGTCGCAAGGCTCAAAGTCACATTCGTCGATATCTATAAACTATGTATTAATTTTATTGAAAAAAAAAATTCAAGACTTACCTTCACAATGAGATTTAAGGCCAGTTTGTTGATAACCTTCATTACAAATGCACTGGTAAGTTCCCATCATATTCTCACATACACCGTTAGAGCATATACCACTAGTTCTAGAACATTCATCGATATCCTTGCAAGATTGTTTATCTGAAGCTAGTTCATGGCCTGGAGGACAATCGCATTTGTAAGAACCTTCGGTATTGCTACATCTACCTCCTCTACACAATCCTGAAAAAAAATTATGTTCGATAAAGATTTTTTGAAGCCTTTTACTATAATGACTCGGGAAAAATAGACCCATAATTTACAATGTCTTAGCTGTGAAAATTAAATGTAACCAAAATAATCAAAAACTGAATTTCCTGATTTCAAATCAGTATCAATAAGCTGAAAATGAAACAAATTAGCGTTGACCCCAAATTAATAAAAATATTTATATATACGTTAAAATTTTATTATTCAGTCACCAAGCGTGATGTCATCACCTAAATCAAATTCATAGAAATATTGAAAGCGAGGCCAAAGTAATTAAATAGGTGATTTATGGCCGCACGTGTTTTTCGGCTTTCTGTGTGTTGTCCTCACATTCTTAAACCAAATCTGTTGACCCCGATAACCCAGGAAATTGCGACATAATATTCGATTTTAAACAAATAAAAGAGGAAGGTTAATGACTGATAAAGTTTGGAATTTTTGGGGGAACGAGACATATAAATACAGGGGTTTTAGAAGTACAGGATCAATTGAGTATTAGTTCAGTCCAGTTAAATCTACAGTACCTAATGAGTCAGTCTGGATAAAATTCGCGAAAAGTTTCTTTTATTGCCTCGGGAAAATGCGTTAAATTGAACCTTTGAAAAGTGACGTGAAAATTGTAAAGACCATTTAAATTCGTTCAACGTTATGTGCGAGCTCTAGAAAAATCAATCTTAATTCAATTGTTGGGACTAGCCTCAACAAATCAGTAGTACCTGTTCAGAAGTGGCGAATTGCCTCAGTATAAAAAGCCTCGGAAAAGGCGAAAATTAAGTGAATATCTCGAAGAAGAAAGTAGTAAATCTTTCCGTTGTTATGTGCGTGCTCTAGCTGAATTTTGAGTAAATTAAATAAGTATTATTTCCTTATTTATATTTTTGGTTTCCAGTATAATAAAATATAATTTAGTAAACCTCAATAGCAGTTCAAGGAAATAAACACCATCAATATACCGCTAGCCATTTACCATCTAACTAATTAAATAGAGTACTTGAGTGCATTTTGCTACACTACCTACTACTAATTTTTACCTGGAATTTCTTCACATTCATTGATATCCATACAAGTCTGCATAGGCGGCAAAGTTCTGAATCCTTCGTTGCACTCACAGTAGAAATCTCCAGCAGTATTTTTACAAACACCCTCACCACATACGTTTGTTGTCGTGATACTACACTCATCAATATCTATGCATTTAATGCGATTATCATCAAAATCGTATCCTTTATTACATCTACAGCTGTAGCCTCCTATGGTATTTTTACACCTGCCATTTTGGCACATTCCAGGAAATTCTGTACACTCGTTTATATCTTTTCTGTCCAAATAACCTAAACCTGGTAAGTAAAAATGTTATTTTTTTTATATCAAATTATAAGAGTTATACCTTTAGGACATAGTTCCACATAAGCAGCCGATCCCAATCTAGGACAAGGCTCACATTTACTGCCCCAAGCCCTACCAACTGAAGAACAGCAACATAAATCCTTATGGAATAAACCTTCAATAGCATAAGTGCACTTTCCATGCTTGTATTTGGTAAAGCACTGTTCTTCTCTCATATCCAAACATTGAGTTCCTACAAAAAATATTTATAAGGAGATATAAGCTCAAGGCTAAAAATCCTCACTTGTATCATCCATAGTTAATCCAGGTAAGCAAGTACAAGTAAAACTGCCATCGGTATTAACACAAGTACCACCTCCACGGCAAATATCAGGATTCAAATCGCACTCGTTGATGTCAGTGCAAGCTTTTCCATCAGCTTTAGTGTATCCTCGTGGACACTCGCATTCGTTTCTGTTGCAACGCTCACAGGGTGATCCCCAAGCTACTCCAATAGAACAACAGCACTCTGTTCTTCTGCTAAGCTGCGGCAAGTTATTTTCGCACCTACCATGGTTGAGTTTGGTCCAACACGATCCTTTTCTGTTATCTGAGAAAATCAAATATAAACTCATAATCTTAAACATCTGCAATCCACATACCAATACAAATCCTTCCAGTGTTATCCAACACGGAGCCAGGATCACATTCGCACCTGTACGATCCAACTGTATTAATACACTCTCCATTGAAACAAGCTTCAGGGCCTAATTCCTTACACTCGTCCACGTCCTCGCAAGCGAAATTGTGCGGATTAAGTTGAGTGCCTGTAGGACAAATACACTGGAAACTGCCTGGGGTGTTTTTGCATTGGCCTCCACCACACATCTGGAAAAATAAACCTAATCTTTCATAATGGGAATATCAATATCTATGCAGTTCAGTTATGGAAAATGAAATAATGGTAGTTGGGGATTATGTTAATTACTAACCACATCATCCACGACACATTCGTTAATGTCCGTGCAAATTTTTCCAGTTTCGTCTACTTCATAACCAGGATTGCAAATGCATCTGTAAGTGCTTATTAAATTTTCACAGGCTCCGTTAAGGCAAATGTTTGGATTTTGGGCGCATTCGTTAATATCGTTACCATCAAAAGTAGATCCTGAATAAAACAACTCTTATAATAAATATCTATAAGTTATTACTAGTTATTTCTTACCCGGTCCGTGAGGACAAAGCAATTCAAAATCAGTAGTTCCAGGCATGGGACAAGGTAGGCATGTTTGACCCCATGCCATGGGCTTGCCACTTATTATGGTGCAACAGCAACAGCTCGATTTTGTTACTGCTGTAGTGGATGGATTGATGCATTGACCATCTCTGTATTCCTACAAAAAAAATAATTACAAAATATTCAATTTACTACCAAATCCTTACTTGATAACAAAGATCTCTTCTGGTATCCAAACAAGATCTTCCATCGGATCCTAAGCTGAATCCTGAATGGCATTCACATCTAAAGCTTCCAGGAGTGTTGTAACAACTTCCAAATTGGCATGGATTGCTAATACATTCGTCTATATCCAGGCAATGACGTCCGTCTGGACCGAGACGGTATCCCGAGTCGCAGACGCAACGAAATGAGCCTTCCATGTTTATGCATCTGCCGTGATCACACATACCTAGAAGATGGTTCATTTAAAGGAAATTAAATGAAATTATCTGGAAGTTACCAGTGGTAGCACATTCGTCCATGTCACTACAGAAAGTTCTGTCACTAGATTCAGTGAAACCGGGTAAACATTGGCACGTGTACGATCCGGCGGTGTTTTCGCATCTTCCGTTCAAGCATATTCTTGGGTTTTCGTAACATTCGTCGATATCTACAAACGTGGAAATATTGATGTAGTGCACTGCGTTGAAATATATTGATTAAACAAGAAACTGATTCCTTGTATTGTTTGAAGGCGCTTTATTATCTGAATCAATGGAATTAGGTCTTTCTATTGAAATATTTTCTTAATTCATTCTGAATCAAACGAATTCAACCTAAGGAAGATCTGGAAATAGCCAGAAGTTGAATTGTCATTTTTAAAATTCTAAGTTTGAATATTGGCCTCTCTTATCTGGGTTACTATTATATCTTAGAAACAACTTAAAAACTGTAATTGTTAGTGCAAAAAAATCTAAAAATAAATATTTGAACCGCATCTTGCTACGATGGCCCGTATTCGAGTTAGGGCGGTTCAAAGTTACAACTAGGTGTTTGTGACGTCACACTGGATTATCAGGCACAGTACCTATTAACAGGTGTAAGAATTTTCCGAAACAAAAGACAATTATCTCACTAGAGCGAGTTGCAACCACTCAAAGTGTAGGGTACGGTTCACTATCACTGACGACTGAATCAGTATTGCCAGGCCATATTTTGTTTTGTCAGTAGATTACTAGTCAAATATCAGTAGAAATCAGTAACCAGATAAGTTGCCTTGTTGAAGGGGTAAACCATTAGGGTATACTCAATTAATTATTTTAACTACGTTTTTTCAAATGATTAAATCATTAGACTGTGAAAACTTGCATTAGAAAATCAAACACCAATACTACTTATGAGAAATAGTTTATTAAATATTAAAATGAGATGAGATATTCCTATTAAATATGCACTACCTATGGGATACTCTATATTTGGTTCTATATTCTTCAAGAGTTAAATTTCCCGATTCAAAAACTATATAGTTTGTCTATATTTGGTTGAGCCGGCTCCAACATATTTAGTTCTAAAAATTTCAAAAATACTATCAGAGAAACCAAGTACAGGGTGATTCATTAAGAATGGCACTCGGCCATATCTCAAAAACTATTCATCGTAGACTTGTCGGAAAAAAATTATCCCATAAATATGGCCAAGAGAAAATGCTGGAAATATATTTCAGCTTTCTAAAATGACCGCAAGGGGCGTAACCCAACTGTCAAAGTACAAAAATGGTTTTATTTCTGAAATTTCAAATGGAAACGTATCTTAAAAATGCCAGCAATCGATTTTTGATGAAATTTCACACAATTTTGATTTATGACTTTTTACCATAACTTATCGGATAAGACAGTTATGAGCTGTCAAATATTGCAACTCAAGAAAGCGGATAACTTCAAAACGACTCAACAAATCTGGTCGATCTCAGAGGTTCGTTGGAAAGACAAAAGTCTGCTCTTTAATTTTGTTGTGAAAAATTCAAATTCTGGTAAGTAGGGTTGACGCTATGGGTCGATATTTGAAAACAATTGAATGTTTTCAATTTTTCTTAATATTTTCAAATGGAACGGTATATTTAAGATACATTAAATCGATTTCTGACGATTTTTTACACATACTTTGTCTTTATTACCTTCCTACAAATGAATTCTAGAAAGTGTTAAAATTAATTTAATTTAAAATAATCAGTATTTATGGAAAAGCCCTCGTAGATAATGACTTTGTTGTGCTGACAGTTGTCAAATAATAAATAAAGTACGTTCCAAAATAATAAATGTTATTTTGGGTTAATTACCTTGCTACTACAAGCTCTAGAGAGCTCATAGTAATTCGTTTCAAGATAGAGAAACTTTTAGTGAATTATTCCAATTGAGGTTCAAGTCCCAAAACATGCAAGGTAATAAGGATTTTTAAGCGATTAACCGCGCGTTACAAAGCGTGTAACCGTGTTATAAACGGTAACTGAAAATCTCTCACCTTTGAAATTTTAGCGAGGCAGCGGTAATAGGGGAACGGTTAATTTTAGACGAAAACCGATTATACATTCCTATTTTAGATTTTTATAAACTATCATTTGACGCCAACTTTGAATTTAATCCATGATTAAAAATTCCAGTTAAATTTAATCTCCGGTTAAATTCAAAGTTGATGTCAAATGATAGTTCATAAAAATCTAAGATAGGAATGTAAGATCGGTTTTCATCTAAAATTAACCGTTTAGGTTTTACAGCCTGTCAAAGTTGCAAAAAGTCAATTTTCAACTGTCAATATTTCCAAAACAGTTGAACTTAGGTATAGGGTATATCACATGAAATCTGCTCAGAATTTTACGTAGAATCCAAATATGCAATAACATACAGGGTGTTCCATTTAAAATTCTGGTTTTGAAGACGATGCTGCACTTTTGGGACACCCTGTATAAATAAAACTCAAATAATTGACAACATTGCTTAAAACCAAGAAACTTTTGTATTTATATTTTTTTTGTACACCCTGTAGTTTCTGAGAAAAGACATTGGCCCCTAATAAAATGCCCACCCTGTACATTTTTAATAGTTTCCAATTTCAAATTGATTATTGTATTGATAATCCCGCCATCGCCATAGGTTTTTTGTTTATTGTGTGCCAATTAGGCGCCATTTTGGACAGGTCTTTGGTTTGCTTAATAGGTATCTATAACCTCACTTTTGTATGATCGCTTTCTATAACCGGTTCGTTATTGCGAAAAAGAGAATAACAAACTTTATTAGGTGGGGGTAATTTTGACAGAACACCAGTAGTGAGGGTAATACCCGTACGGTTATAGCTCGTGATAACACCGTTACAAATGATTACTCGCTTAAAAATCCTTAATAACATTTATTATTTTGGAACGCACTTTTTTTTTATTATTTGACAACTGTCAGAAAAACAAAGTCATTATCTACGAGGGCTTTTTCATGAATACTGATTATTTTAAATAAAATTAATTTTAACACTTTCTGGAATTCGTTTGTAGGAAGGTGATAAAGACAAACTATGTGTAAAAAATCATCAGAAATCGATTTAATGTATCTTGAATATACCGTTCTATTTGAAAATTTTAAGAAAAATTGGAAACACTCAATTGTTTCCAAATATTGACCCATAGCGTCAGTCCTACTAAGCAGAATTTTAATTTTTCACAACAAAATTAAAGAGCAGACTTTTGTCTTTCCAACGAACCTAAGATCGACCAGATTTGTTGAGTCGTTTTGAAGTTATCCGCTTTCTTGAGTTGCAATATTTGACAGCTCATAACTGTCTTATCCGATAAGTTATGGTAAAAAGTCATAGATCAGAATTGTGTGAAATTTCCTCAAGAATCGAATGCTAGCATTTTTAAGATACGTTTCCATTCGAAATTTCAAAAATAAAACCATTTTTGTACTTTGACAGTTGGGTTACGCCCCCTTGCGGTCATTTTAGAAAGCTGAAATATATTTCCAGCATTTTCTCTTGGCCATAATTATGGAATAATTTTTTTCCGACAAGACTATGACAAATAGTTTTTGAGATATGGCCGAGTGTCATTCTTAATGAATCGCCCTGTACATAATTACCTACCTCAAATTTTACCTGCAGCTTTCACCTGAACAGGTAGAATGGTTCACAAAATCAGTAATAGGATAGTATTTTTACAATTTTTGGAGCCGAACATACGAGAGACTGTTCAATCAAATACAGACAAACTATATATTTTTGCAATCGGGGTATTGTGCTCTTCAAGAATATAGAATGAAATATAGTGCATCTCAATTGAAAAAAGCTGGAAGCATGCAAAATTTCACAGAGGTCCACCCATAAGTTCCGCAACAATTCACTCATTTGTACTTGAATAACTTGTCACATTATGTTACTAGTTTGGTAAAGTAACATTACTAATTCCTATTAAAAGGCGAATTGACAAAAAGTGAATACCGGTAATCATAATCTTACAAATTTTGACTTTATATAATAAGTTATTCTTCAAGTACAAATTAGTGTATTATTACGGAACTTATGGGTGGATCTCTGCGAAACGAACGCAGCGAGTTCGCAGCCATCTATTGACCAATATAATGTTGAACTGTTCAAGTAAGACATTCACCTGAAACATGTAGTTTTTAAACAAATGAGAATAACTCACATTTGAGTGAGTCAGGTTAATATCGTAATTAAATAACATATTGATGAATAGATGGCTGCGGAACTCGCTGCGCTCGTCCCGCAGAGGTCCACCCATAAGTTCCGCAACAATTCATTCATTTGTACTTGAATAACTTCACAATATATTACTAGTTTGATAAAGTAACAAGTTGAAAGGCGAATTGACAAAAAGTGCACAATCTTACAAATTCTGACTTTATATAAAAAGTTATTGTTCAAGTACAGAGTGTTTTTTTTTATATTGACACTCCACCTACAGCCTTCACCTTTACAAGTAGATGAAAGGTGTAAATACAAAAGTTGTACAGTATGTGTGGCCAGAAATGTGGCCAGAAATGTGGAATGTTGCATGTTTTCAGCTTTTTTCAAATAGGAGTACCTACCTATGCAGTAGTCTAGTCTTATAAAAACGGGTAAAACAGGCTACAGTTACTTGTACAGCATAACGCTATGTGACCAATTGACTAACCAACAACAACGCATGCCTTTACGCAACTGGCAAGACAAAAGGCAAATATGACATCACGGTTATGACATCACAAGTTCCTGCATAATTTATCTTCACAAGGAATTTTCTCGGAGACTATTATGAATATGGGACTGCGGTTTTCACGAGAGATCTTGGATTGTTTTTCTTGATTTAAGTAGCTTAAGTCGTTTATTAGGGTCACACTCCCTTCAATGAAATCAAAACCCAAAAGATGAATTTCTTACCTATACAAGCAAATCCAGTCGGGCTTAATTTAAATCCGTTTTTACATTGACATTTAAAACTTCCATCCATATTGATACAGATTCCGTTGGTGCACATTCCAATTTCAGCACACTCGTCATGGTCGGTACACATGGTACCATCTGGAGAAACGTCAAATCCTGGCGGGCAGATACAATTGAAACCGCCAAGAGTGTTGATGCAACGTCCGTTGACGCATTTGCCTTCGTTGCATTCATCAACATCTGAAATAGAATTGAAGGTTGAAGAAGGATGTTTGTAAATTATTATAAACATAAGCAAAATAAAATTTTTATCACTAGCCTTCACACACTTGTGATTTTCCTTTCCGATATCCTGGATCACAAATGCACTCGTATCCTTCAGGTTGATCGACACATTTTCCTGGTCCACAAATTGTTGGTCTGATAGCGCACTCGTTAACAAGAGTATTCAACATTTTGGTTTTTTGTTCTGGCACTTGACTGCCGCTGCTGATATTTTTGCCATCCACCGTGTAATAGTAGATTTGGGCTGTGGAACAAAGTTTACGATGCTCCTCTAGAATAAAAGATGTTTTAATTATTGGGGTAAATTAAAAGTACCTATTGAGATTTTTCTTACCGTTTCCGTATTCAGGACATGGCGTACAATGATCGCCCCATCCTTGTCCTACGTGCTGGCCGCAGCAGCAATCTTTCTTCGATAATCTGTATTGGAGTTCATCTCGGCAATATCCCGAAGGCGATCGGTACGTATAACATAAACCTTGTCTGCCATCTAAAAAAAAATCATTAACAATGGATCATTTACGCAAAAGGTTGTTTTTTTGTTGTGACTAGGAGCATTATTTCAATCAACGATAGGTATAGTATAGTATACACGTTAAACATGCAGTAAGGATGTCATTTATAGATGTAGACACGTACCAATACAATATTTCTTGTCCTGACTTTGTATAAATCCAGGATTGCAAAGACAAAAGAACCCTCCGTTTGTATTGACACAGCCACCATTTTCACAAACACCCTCGTCTTCGCACTCATTTCTGTCGTCACATCTGTTAGTTTGTGGATTTCTTGCTTGACCTGGTGGACATTCACAACTGAACGATCCGACGCTGTTCACACATTGACCTCCGGAACATAAATGTGGAATGGCTTCACATTCATTGATATCTATCATGGAAGAGATTTTTGTGAATTTCAATTGAATTGCTTCGACATTAGAAACTCACCGACACATTCTCCAGTCTTTTGATTTTTCAAAAATCCAGTGTCACATTCTAAACGTGAAGGGCAGTGCTCGCAAGGGTGGCCCCATGCTTTTCCGACTGTGGCACAGCATAGGGTTTTGGTACAAACCACTCCTTCCAATTGGTTAACGCACAATGGGCCTCTAATTCCAGTATAGCATGGTCCTGTCCTGTAATCTATGGGACATTTGTATAAAAATTAAATATGTTCAGGACTATTTTTTTTACCTATTAAGAGAATAAAAATTGAAACTTACACACCTACTTCACAATGGTTTCCTGCAAATCCATAAACGCAGGCACATCGGTCTGGACCAATACATCTTCCACCGTTTTTACATTGTTCTTCACAAATTGCTAAAGAAAAGTAAACAATAGGTATAAAAATGCTCTTGTTAATCATCTAATTTCTTACGTTCAGTACAAAATTCTCCAGTATATCCAGCTACACAGCTGCATTGCCCATCAACGCAAGTACCTCCGTTCATACAAATAGCTCTACATGATCTACCATCACCTATAAACACCAAACTTTAAAAAAAAATCTCTTATTACAATAAATCATTCACCTCCATATACTTGTTTGGTGCTTTGACAACTGGCAGATCTTGTTCCGCCTTCACACATACAAACATTGGGCGATATACATTGTCCTGGACTGCATGGTCTCGAACATACGGCTAAAGTGTAAGAGTTTTACTAGATGCAAAGAAAATTTTAAAAATATCTTACGTATAATACATAATCCTAAAGCTGCATGTCTTTGCCATCCTGGACAGCAATAAGTTCTTGCTCTACTTCTACATACATTGGGCCTGAAACAGAAAATTGTTTAAAATAGCATTTTCAGATGTTCAACTACTGTTGAATCGAGAATTTAAGTAGGTGCCTAAAAGAAAACAATAATAATTTCCTAGTATTATTTTGATTAATATTCATAAGAAGGCTTCAATTAATTTCCACTTTCATCATTTTCGAAAAGGATTTTAATCAGCTCATAAAAAAAGCTTTTAAATCTATGGGTAATTTTGTGATAATTTGTCGCGTAGGAAATTTTGGGCATTTTATAGTTTTTAAATTGAAATAGTTTGATTTGACACCGAAAGTTTCTTAGTCATGATTACAAAATTCGGATTCAATAAAGAGGTCGCTAAAATAGCGTTGTTTTCCAATTAAAGGCCATTGATTTGTTTGGTCTAAAGTTAATTTACACATGTAACTTTATATCAAACAGGGAACTGATGGCAATAAAACATTTAATGTTCATTTAAACGACGTTAACGAGACATTAATTTTGCTACAACGAAAGATTTTTTTTGTTTGAATCATTTTCATTACACATCATCCCAGACTGCATGTCGGATATATCACTTGTTGTTTAATGGTCGAATTTTTATCTTCTTAGCAAAATAATTATCGAATATACTCGAGATTAATATAAGCAAAGCATATTTAACTTAAACATTACTAACCGCCACCATGTCAAATAGATAAGAGCGTTGACTTTCCCACTGGAGCACTTAGAGATCACTTATGAAGTTAATTAATTCTTAGGCCGGCAATTACTGATGTTTTTAACTTGTCGCACAAAGTTGAAATTATGTAACAGTTTGTGTTGCGGAGCCTCATTGACAGTGGACTTCCTTTTTTACGTTGACCGCAATTGGACATTATGATCATTGATCGTCCCAGGAAATGTCTAAGTGATTGGTGGCTTTCATTTTTCAATCGTTATAGAGTTCTGCCATGAAAATAATTAGATATGTATACCGGGTGAGTCTTTCAAAACGTATCATTATTAGAGCCTCTCAGAGAATTTTTCAGCTCTCAGAATTGTCAGTCTTAGGGCCGGTATTTCAATGTCACCTTAAGGTACAGAATAACGTTAAGTCATCCACAAGTTTTACCGTATATCAAAGTTCCCTTAATTCAAGGTGGATCTTAAGCCACCTGAATGAACTGATTTCAGGTTCACCTTAACGTTAAGGGTACCTTAGGTTAATCTTGATTTTAGGGTAACATTGAAATACCGGCCCTTATTTGAGGGCAATTCTGGATCGCTTAGGTGGATTTTTTGTCAAAATTTTGTGAAAGTATTTTTTTTTTTTCCAAATCTTCATTTCTATACTAGTTCTAGATCATACATAGGATTTTTGACATTTTCGACAATACTGCTTAATTCCGAAGAATTGAGATTCTGCAGACGCTCCAACCAGAGCTACTTCAAAGGCAGATTTTGTGGAAAGGAGATGGTTTTGAAGCCCGCATCTAATACTATCTCGATTCCAAATACAGTAGAATCCCGGTTATCCAAGGTAACGTGGGGGGTACCCACATCGGATATAACTGAAAACTCGGATAATCTTAATACATATATGTATACAGGGTCATTTAAAAGGAAACAGGCTAAATATCTGATGTCACTTTAATTTTTTTTATTATTATAGTATTTTGATTGTGTGAGTGTTTGAAACATTTTCAGCACTAACTTAACCCTCTAGCAGGGGTGGGACCAACCCCACATTCCAAATGGAACAGGGATTCGAGTGATACCTGATGTTTCAAAGAGAGCTCAATTTTCTTTCAAATGACATCAAATAAAAGAGAATTGGACACTCTTTTGAAAGAGGTATCACTCGACCCCTTGTTCCATTTGAAATAGTAAGGGGTTGGTCCTACCCCGCCTAGAGGGTTGAAGTTGATATGCTGAAAATGATTGCAAAAAACTTCCCCCTTTGAAAATCAAATTACGTGTACGAGCGATTTTTTAAAAAATAAACGTGACATCAGATATTTAGCCTGTTTCGTTTTAAATGGTACACCCTATACGTATGTACAGGGTGTTTTTTTATGTATTGACACCCCACCTACAGCCTTTACCTTTACAAGTAGAGGAAAGCTGTAAATATAAAAGTTGTACAGTTTTGGCTAAATTTTTAGAATCCATGGTCAGAAACAAAAATTGAATGTCAGAAATGTGAAATTTTGCATGCTTTCAGCTTTTTTCAAATGGGATGCGCAATATTTGATTCTATACTCACAATTTCCCGATTCCAAAACTATATAGTTTGTCTATATTTGGTTGAGCCGTCTCCAACATATTTGGTTCTAAAAATTTTAAAAATACTATCAGAGAAACCAAGTACCTCAAATTTTACCTATAGCTTTCACTTGTACAGGTAGAATGAATCACAAAATCAGTAGTAGGATAGTACTTTCACAATTTTTGAAGCCGAATATATCTCAATTAAATATAGATCGGGGCATTGTGCTCTTCAAGAATATAGAATTAAATATAGGACATCCCTTTTGAAAAAGCTGAAAGCATTACAAATAAGTGGATTATTGCGGAACTTATGGGTGGACCTCTACTCACCAATATACTGTTGAACTGTTCAAATAAGACACTCACCTGAAACGTGTAGTTTTTGAACTAATGAGAAAAATTCACAACTGAGTAAATCAGGTAAGTATTGTACTTTAACAACATATTGGTAAATAGATCGCTGAGTCCACCCATAAGTTCCGCAACAATCCACTCGTTTGTACTTGAATAACTTGTTACATTATATTACTAGTTCGGTAAAGTAACATTACTAATTCCTGTTAATAGGCAAATTGACAAAAAGTAAAAAGTTAATAATCATAATCTTACAAATTTTGACTTTATATAATGAGTTATTGTTCAAGTACAAATAAGTGGGCTGTTGTGGAATTTATGGGTGGACCTCTGCGGGACGAGCGCAACGAGTTCCGCAGCCATCTACTCACCAATATAGGTACTGTTCAACTAAGACATTCACCTGAAACGTAGTTTTTAAACTAATGAGAATATCTCAGTTTAGTATCGTACTTAAACAACATATTGATGAATAGATGGCTGCGGAACTCGCTGCGCTCGTCCCGCAGAGGTCCACCCATAAATTCCGCAACAATCCACTCGTTTGTACTTGAATAACTTATTGTCACATTATATTAATAGTTTGGTAAAGTAACATTACTACCTAATTCCTGTTTATAGGCATATTGACAAAAAGTGGATAATCTTACAAATTCTGACTTTAAGTATATAATAAGTTATTGTTCAAGTACAGAGTGTTTTTTTTTAATATATATCTACACCCCATCTACAGCCTTCACCTTTACGAGTAGATGAAAGATGTAAATACAAAAGTTATACAGTAGGTATTGGTTAAATTTTTAGAATCCATGGTCAGAAACAAAAATTGAATGTCAGAAATGCGAAATGTTGCATGCTTTCAGCTTTTTTCAAATGGGATGCCCTATATTTGGTTCTATATTCTTGAAGAGCACAATTTCCCGATTCGAAAACTATATAGTTTGTCTGTATTTGGTTGAGCCGTCTCCAACATATTTGGTTCTTAAAATTTTGAAAATACTATCAGAGAAACCAAGTACCTCAAATTTTACATATAGCTTTCACCTGTATAGGTAGAATGGTTCACAAAATCAGTAGTAGGATAGTATTTTTACAATTTTTGGAGCTGGATATATGAGAGACTGTTCAATCAAATATAGACAAACTATATATTTTTGTAATCGGGGCATTGTGCTCTTTAAGAATATAGAATGAAATATAGGGCATTTTATTTGAAAAAAGCTAGAAGCATGCAAAATTTCACATTTCTGACATTCAAATTTTGTTTCTGACCATGGTTTCTAAAAATTCAGCCAAAACTGTACAACTTTTGTATTTACACCTTTCTCCTACCTGTAAAGGTAAAGGCTGTAGGTGGGGTGTCAATATATAAAAAAACACCCTGTATATTCTAGAAACTCGGTTAATACGGAGTATGGACGTGCGTACCTCGGATAATCAGGATTTTTGGGTCTTTAGGGCCCGAATTTCAAATAGGTATATTATCTTTCATCTGGCTTATTTACGTCTCAAGTCTACGTCATAACTGATCCTTTAAGGAGGATATTTTTTTATTTCCTTGTGACTGTCGACCATTTTGTGGATAAATTCTGATCTCTTTAGAGACTTAATTTAGTTTAGACGGCTTAGGTATTTACTCAATGCTCTAAACCGAGACTCAATTTACCCAAATACTAAAGATTTTGATAACATAACTGCGAAGACTACTCCATATTGGAGCTTTTTCATTTAAGATTAGGAAGACTCAAAATTCAAAATTCTTTGTTGAAGATTCAATACTCACACTCTAAAAGTTCAAGATTTATGAGACATCTACATAAGATTCTGATAACTGTAAAAACTCAAGACTTCATGATTTATTACTCAAAATTCTCGGCTCATGATGGTTCCACTTTGATATTTTAACGAATAGACGGTTCTGCTAGCTAAGTATTATGACTTGATAAATTTAAAGACAAAATTTTGGTCTCAAGATTCAATACTATAATATTCTGATGATTCGAGACTCAAGGCACTAAAGATTCTTTATAACTGGTGAAACTAAAGTTTTCCAAAATCATGACTCAACATTTTGATGATAGCCAAAGGCTCATAAGTATAAGATTTCTTGGTAATACTTTCGTCCACGGGACACTGTCAAAATAGAAGTTAAATTTCAGCTTTTTGGACACACTTTGATATTTCAATAAACGCCAACGTTTCGACGCCTTTTGCACCATCTCCGGGTGTAGCTAATTTTAATAAGTATACGTAATTTTCAAACATCCTTGATGATTTGAAAAAAAAAAACTGGCCCTGAAGATGCCGCAGATGACATCGAAACATTGAGAGTATTTAAATGTCTCCAAAAAGCTCCAACTTTCATGATAAGCGTCAAGGCTCATTCACTAAAGATTCTTAGCTCGCAGGTCTGTC